AATTTATGGAAAATGTTATCTAGAGATAAGGTTTTAGCACTTTATTTGAATCTTGACGGTGGATTTAACGAATGCATGTCTCAAATCTCTCACCCTATAAGTCTATTTAGATCGCCAATCAAGATTTAACCCTATCAACTTTGATTTAAATTTTTGGGGATTCAATTTCTCCCTCTAAAATATTTACATCTCTCGTCCACTCGTCTCTGTCACAACAAAGAGCCTATCTCCCCCTCTCTCTCTCTCTCTTGGAGACATGTGAGCCTAGATGGAAAAAAGCCTAGCTCTGTTTCTCATGAGCCTTAGAAGACAAATTAATTGAGAGCAGGGTCCGGTGAGCAAAAGAATCCACCATTGAAGAAACTACTTAGAGCTTGAATGGCTTCGAATAAGGTCTCTTCCTCTCTGTGCTTTCTTTCTCTAGGTTTGAGGAACTCTAAAAATCGAGGACACACCTTTCTCTAGCCATGTAGAACGCCTCCACTCCTTTCTCTCTCTAGATTTTGGGAATAGGGGGCGTGTAAGGTTATCAGGACGGGAAATATAATGGTTCTTGAAACAAAGAATGGGCAACCATCAATCAATGGAACTTGTTGCCTTTCGAGTGGCAGTGTCGTGCATGTTTTTTTTCTTTCTTTTTTTTTTCTCTTTCATGTGGTTTCACACGTCGCGCATGGTGCCATGCGTCAGTTCTGTTTCCCCTTCTGTTTGTGCATCTCTATCTCTCGACGAGATTTGTAGACGGCGCTGCTCATCTCCATCCGCATATATATCCTCGACGTCTCAACGAAGAACACAGGTAACGAAGCTTGAGCTTTAGATGTTTATGCTGTTTTGTTTGCTATACTACTTGTTAAGATGCTGATTTTTGTTTTATTTACCATGCGATGGCTACCAAAGGGTAGTCGATTGGGAAGAGCTCTGGCTTTTTATTTACCATGCGATGTTCTACTTGTTTAGATGCTGATTTTTGTTTGTTCTCTTGTTTTGGCAGATGAAAACGCTTCCAGGGAAATTGGAGAATTGGATCATCACAAACTGCTCGAGATTTTGTTTCAATGGAAAGTAGATGAAGAATCGGTGTTTAGGTTTTTCAAATGGTGGGTAAAATGGTAGAAGACCAAAAGTGGATAAAATGGTAGAAGACCAAAAGTTGCTAGATGCAGTTATTGAGAAGGGTCCGGTTCTTAATCTTGTAATAAATAATTATTTCAAACATGTAAAAAAAAAAAATCTCTATATTTCAGTTTTTAAGTTTAATATCTCAATAGACCCAAAGTTTCAAAATGCCATAAAAATTTTAAGTTTTATATCTTTTAACCCCATAAGCTAACTTTATCACCTTTAAACCTATTTTTTTTGCTCCAAATAAATAGAAGAAAGATATATCCTTTCTAAACACCATCTTTTCTCTCTTCATGCGATTTTTTCCTAAATCTCTCTCTACCTATTTCTCACTCTTTATCCCTTGTATATCTCACTCACTCTCTCCCCCGTTAGAGAAACAAAGAGGGTGAATGATAGAGAGAAAAAATTGGAGAGAATATATCATCTATAGAGATGAAGGGTTTAGAATGAGCATGTTTTTTTTATATTTGTTAGGGCTAAAAAAATAGTTAAAAAACGAGTAAAGTTAGTCAAGGGGTTAGAGATATGAGAAAGGTTTCTATCCTTCCCCTACAGCATCGAAGTTATATCCTCCCCTTACCATCCAGCCGTCCAAGTTTGATCAAGAGTGTCACTTATAGTTTGATCTTAGATCCGATGTCTCAAACTATTTTATTTTTATTTTTTTTATACAAATTGTATGAGAATAAAATTTGATATGTGCCATCTTTTTATTAGGGCGCACCTATAAAAAAAAATTAAAAATAATTTTTCAATAAAATATAATGACCAAAATACCCTTTAAAATTTTTAGGGGTATTTTGATCATTTTATTTTATTAAAAATATTTTTTTATATATCTTTTTTGCTTGTGCGAGTTTAATAGAGGAATGGACGTCCAAAATTTGGCGTCAAAATAGTCTATAGAATAATTAAAAATAAAATAGTGTAGAGACGTGACATTGTGATTGGGGCAATCTTGGCCTCCATTCAGAATGGACGGTTGGATGAGAGGGAGGATAGAACTTCTATGTTGTAGGGGAAGCAAAGAAAGCTTACCCAAGAGATATATTTTGAATCTTTGGGTCTATTAAGATATGAAACCCGAAAATAAGAGATACGACGGTACCTTAAAAAAAAAAAAACATATCAAGATATTGTAAAATCTAAATATATAAAATGCAAGGGAGTGACTTTATTCAATTTTTAAAAAATTTAAATATGTAAATCATGTTTTTGTCGAACATACCCTAAATGTCAAAATATCATAGTTATGAGCATTTAGAATTTTATTGTGAACATTTCGAAAATTAATCATAAATAATTTTTAAAACATGAAAGTTTTGCTAAACGATAATCCCAAATTTTATATTTGAAATACTCTTAGGAAAAGGAACATATAATATTAATATAATTTTAAAACATTACAAATTCAAAATTACAAACATAAGACATTTTTCAGCTTAGGCCAAAGATTTTATATATAATATATGAAAATAATAAAAATTTGAAAAATAAACAATTCAAAAAATTAAAATAATAGTAATATAAGACATTTTCAGGTTTACCCAAAGATTCCAAATTAGACTGAAGCAGACCGAATAACATAATTTATTAAAAAAAGAAAAGAAGATTTTGTGATTCTGCCGAAGAGGCCGAAGCTTTAGTTGAAGAGGCTGAATCAAACCCAAGCAGGTCGAAGCAGCTCGAAGTAGGCCAAAGCTGATGCACCTGAGCTGAGCTCAACTTTGGTGTAGGCCGAAAATCTGAAAATTTCGGACTCTTCGACCTAAGCGAAGCGAATTTGATAACATTGCATAAAAATTAAAAGTTGAGAGAATTGAGCTATAAGAGCTAAACAAAAATATAGGGAGTGGAGAGATAAAGCCAAAAAAATAGAAAGTTATAAAATCTTTAATCCTAACAAATGGTATCCAGTAATCCTATTAGGTGCCCTAAATTTATGGTCACTTAGCTTACATTCTTTCTAGGAATAGGATCACTATTTATTTTTGGGACATGTGTCCACCCCTTAACTGTGGCTTAATAATGTAGTATAGATACACCTCTTGGGCCTCCCGATTTTGTTTCTAATAGCTAGGCGTAATTGTAACTTTTGTGTATCAAAGATAAAATTCTTATTAAATTAATTAAACTAATTGGATTATTGTTTATTCAGAATTTTCCATTAAGGATGAGGTTTGTATAAGATGTTAACTTAAATAATCACGGTAAGGTGCACCACAAAATCTCATTAAAAGATGTATTTTTTGTATTGAAACTCGTATGATGGCTTAAAAATCTATTTTTCACCCCTAATATGAAATTGAAAGCCCCAAAAATGGTGTAGATCTAACATATCTATAAACACTCTAAAATCTTGACAGCGGACGGTCTAGATAATGTGTTACAAGATGTATTATTTTTTAATACATGAAATTCATTTCTTCTTTCATATTTATGCATATCGAGATCGAGCTGATCAATTGGACAGATTTCAAGTGATGGAACAATCTTTCCCGATGGGTTTTTGAGGTGCATCTTGCTTATACAATATGACACCTTATATACTTTTTCCTTCCATTAATTTGTTTAAATTAGAAGAACTTGCAATATTTCCAGTTTAAAATTGATCCAATACTACGACATTCGACTTTATGGAGAGAGAGACGATTCACCTCTCGATAAGTCAATCTACAAAGACTCCATGCACAAACATCACAAACACATGAAGCACCCAAATTTAAAAGGGATTGTATACAATGAGACTGGTTACGCTTGATATAAAGGGGTCATAATTACTTACAATCATCATATGTGAAATTTGATAGTTTGGACATATCATAAAGTTCAAGAATATTTCTTTTGAAGTTTGAGCTTGATCAATTAAATAAATACAATCATGTAATTTCACATCTAATGGTCAAGATTAATTGTGACCCCCTTGTACCAAGATAATTTATCTTATTATATACTTTTCTAATTTAAAATATGGTCATAAAACATTCATTTCTCTGCATAAAGTTTAAATTTTTTTTTCTTGAACTTCAAAATGGGTCAATGATACAGATCTAGCCTCTCCATTTGGCAACGAATGGCTAGGACGGTTCGTGACCTTTGTGTGCCAAAGATAACACTTATTAAGTCTAATTATATGCTTTTTCTTTTCTTTTCTTTTTTTCCTATTTAGGACTTTCCGTGGATGGTGTTATTTCATCATCCTAAACCACGGTTGTATAAAAGTGATGTAAATTACAAAAAATTGCAGTGTTTCGATTTGGAAACTGATCGAATACTTTTGCAACTCTGAAAATTGATATACACTGTTTTTAGAGTTTGAAATCCTTTCTTTTTCCCAACCATAATTGTCGAGGCCAAGATGATCCATTTGAAAGTTTTATGACACCAAAAGTACAATTTTCCATGAGTTTTGAGGTGAGGTATTACTTATTTTGATAGCAGTGCAGCCCTATTCAAGTGTTTTCCTATATATAAAGGCAAAAGTTTATATAGAGCCGAGGCTCTAAACCATCAAATTAGAGCCTACCTCAAAACTTTCACTAGAAGATGTTCTTTTGATGCTCAAATATCTTTAAATTGATCATCTCGACATCAAGATGCAAGGACATGAGAAAAAAATGGATTTCAAGTTTTGGAAATAGTGTATTTTGTAATACATTTTGGATCGTCAATTTTCAAGATTTTCAAGTTTTCATAGATCTATCGATCTACACTATTTTTTAAACTTTAAAATTTATAAATAAAGATGAAAATATGTTTTAAGGCTATCACGATGATTTTCAGTATTGAAACCACATTTCTCGACACTATTTGAAAATAGGCTCTAATTTGATTGTTTAGAGCCTAGGCACTATACAAACCACACCCATATATAAATGCTTAATAGAACTTCTAATGACCTGTGATATTATAAGAGTACAAACAACATCAATTGTAGAAACGAGGAAGACAAGAGTTGGTGGAATTCAAGCAAGAAAAGGAGAACAACTTTGAATCCACAAATAAGTTGTTTTTGATCGATAAACCCTCATACCTACAAAATATGATAATGAAAAAGAATTTGATAATCTTTTTATTTCTTAAGAAGTAGAGGCCCTACATTATCTCCAGTGGCTTTGTTGTGCTTTACATGGCTTCCATCACACAAAGGAAACGTTCCTGACCTCCAGCACCTAGAGAGCGATGAATAGTTAAAAGAGTGATCTCTATCAAAAAGTAACAAGAGCCTAGGGATTTCAAATCATTTATCTTTGGTACAAAGATGTAAAATTTGATAGCTTGATTGCATCACAGAGTTCGAAAAAAAAAAGAAAAAAGAACTATGAGCTTAATCAATGAGATAAATGCAACAACCTAATTTCACATGCAATGTTCTAAAGTTAATTGTTACCACCTTATATGAAAGGTAAATGGTCTCATTATATACTTTTTTTTTATATAAATGTACTTCCATCTATCATGATTTGTGATTTTTTTTTAAGAAATACATTCAATGAGACCATTTACTTTTAATGCAAGGATATCACAATCATTATAAACCTTTAGATGTAACATGAGTGGATGAAGATGTATAGTTAATTGGGCATAAGGTTTAAAATAAATTTTTCGAATATTGTGACACACTTCAATCTATAGAATTGTACATCCAATAGCCAAAAATGATTGTAGCCTCCTTGAACCAAAAGTAAATGATATCATAGTATGCAATCCCTTTTTTTTTTTTTTATAATTCTATTTTTAAATTTTTTTTCTAAATTATTTCAAGCTATAAATGAAAGGGAAAAGTCTGTATAGATTCTTCCATATTCTGTCTTTATAATAGTCTTCTAATTTTTTTTATTCAGGGAAAATTATGCCCATACAATTTTATTAACCGTTATTATGTGGTGGTCCAAAAATATGCGGAGGTCCTTGTCCCAATTTTTTATTTTATAAGTTTGGCCTCGGTTCGACTTTTAAATTAACCATATGTAAAATTTATTTTAAAAATTTTATGGCCCCTTTAAACTTTCAAAACATGAGGTCTAAAATACAGTCTGATGTTATAAACATTAGACAACTTTAAACCTTTAGAAAATGAGGTCTATAATGCACTCCAATGTTATAAACATTAGACAACCTTAAACTTTCAGAAAAGGAGGTCTAAATGCAATCCGATATTTACCTTAAACCTTAAAAAAAATGGACCAAGGGCAAACCTTTAAATATCAAACCACCTTAAATCAAGTGGTCCGATGATTAAAAAATCAGAGAGAATCAAATTTGTCTAAAAATTTAAAAAAAAAAAATTGAGGGGCTCATCCTTCTAAATAGTAAGGGCTTTTTGTCATAATGTTCAAAATAATGGTATGGACACAAATTTTCATTTTATTTAAAATTCCTTTCATAATTAAATATTTATGTTAGTTCTTTTTTTTATCAATGATCCAATGTAACTGTTGTATTATAGTATAATGCAACGACATTTCTAAAAAACTATGTTTGTGATATTTGTATGGCTACAAATTTTACACACTTTTTCTTCATCTCAATAATCAATCCCCCCAAAAAAAATTCAATTTGAACCTTAGATATGATCAAAATAAATCCCATCCAAAAACGAATCTAGACTTTTCATTTTGTAAATTTCAATATCTCAGCCTTTATAAACTCAAAATTATTTTTTTCTTTTTTAATATTGTTCATCTAATAATAATAAAGCCATCTAAAAATATTAGAAATGAAAAAATCTTTCTAAACGTAGATCTAAGCATCTCATCAAAATAAACGTTCCATGTTAATTGGGCTAAAATAATACTTTCGTGTTTTCAATTTTTTCTTTTTTTTGTGATTGTTCATCATAATGAAAGGAGTATATATTTCAAACTTTGTATATATTTCAAACTTTGAATCAAACAAATGCCCATAAACTAGTTTTTTAAAGTTGTTGCATCAGATTACTATACGCATGGAATCATTGCCCGTCATTTTTAGCCTTGTCCACCACTTGAGCGAGTCTAATGAACTCCGTGGAGTTACTCGGCAAAGGTAAGCGCCGAGTCAACATGCCCTTACACAGAGGGAGAGAGAGAGAGAAGTACCTGCAATAAGCAGTTAATGGGTTGGAGAGTTCAGAGACTTGGACCGAGTCCACTACTTTTTGCTCAGTCTTCCTGATTTCAGGATTGATGGCTTCAGCTCTCACACTTACATAGGAGGAGGAAGGCTTTGTTTTGATACATGATGATCTAAACCTTCTTTCCACCTCCATTTTTGGCCTGTACAAGAAACCTGCACCAACTAGAGCCATGGAGGAAGCCATTTTAGAAGCCCCCTCTCTCTCTAACTCGCTCTTCTTAGAAGCCCTTTCTCTCTCTAAACTCTCTCATCTGTGTGAACTTTACGTTCTGTTTGGAATGGGTTGGTGGGTGATCGTCGTGTGGAGGACATGCGCCTTCCAACATGTGGTGAGTAGATTGTGAACGTTGAGTTAACACGTGGCAATTTCCCTGATGTTTTAACTTTGCACTAACTTTTCTTTTTAAAAAAATTATAGATATCCCTCCGAATATACTTTCATGCACGGTTAACTCTAATGCTATTTATCTTTTCATCAACCTCTTGGCAAAAAAACATACCTTTTCTTAGAACAAAATATTCCCATTTAACCACCTCTTGGCAAAAAAACATACCTTTTTTTAGAACAAAATATTCCCATTTAACCATGCTTTAGTCCATTTTAAAATTAGCTAGACTAAAATATAGTATATAGAATGCAGGTTTAATAATGATAAAAACTATAATGAAATAGTTAAAATTGACATTCAATAAATACAAAAATAGCTCACTTCCGATATTTTAGGTTGATAATTTAAGAAAATTGAGATATTAAGGAAGATGCCGCACATGAAATTAGAACTGGGTGGGACGAAGTGGATATGCACGGTTGAAATTTTATGTGATCGTTGCATACCAATTACTGAAAGAGCAAATTTTATAGAACAATTGTGAGACCATCCTTACTTTAAGAGGGGGAATGTTAGGAGGTCAAAAAACAACATATCTATATAATGAGGGTAATGAAGATGAACATGTTGAGATGGATTAGTGGCAATATAAGAAGGGATAAAATTTAAAATGAATACATTTAGAAAAAATTAAGTGTGGTATCAATAGACGATAAGATAAAAAAAAGTAAACTTAGGTGGGCTGATCATGTGTGGTGCAGATCAATACAACACCTGTTGGGAGTGCGAGATAATTTAAGTAGAAGGCTTAAAAGAGCAAGGAGTATGCCCAATAGAGCAGCATAGCATACCATTATTTGTGTAGTTGACTGCAATTAATTGGAAAAAAGCTTTGATGATAATGAAATCAATGCTCCCATCCATTTAGTTTTTTTATATCTGGTTTTAAATTTTTAGAGAGTTTCATTTTCATCATCATTATCATAGCCTTTACTCAATTAATTGGGTCGGCTACACGAATCCTGAACCACCAATATGCTCTATTAAATGTTGTATCTTCAATGAAACCATAAGTCTTTATATCTTTTCGAACTACTTCCAAACACGATTTTTTGGTCTTGCCCCGTGCCCTTTTAAGTCTTTCCATTTGAATTAACTTGCACTTCTTAATATATGTTGTATTTGGTCAGTGTCGCACAAGGCCAGCCCACCTAAATCTACTTTCTATTTAAAAACTTCAAAATTGAGACAACTTGAAATTTGAGATAGTATCTCTCTCTAAAAAAATTGAAATTTTTTTTCTATTTAAATTTTGATATTTGAGCTAGTTTTCTCTCTCAAAAATTTTAGAATTTGAGATAAGTTCCTTTTTTAAAATTTTTAGATAGTTTCTCTCTCTAAAATTCTTAATTTCAAGTTTTTAGAAATAGAAACTATTTTAAATACATGCAGGTACTTTGGGGGTATAATTTCTCTCTCTAAACTTTTAAAATTTGAGATAATTTTTCACTTAAAATTTTTTAGATAGTTTCTCTCTCTAAAATTCCTAATTTCAAGTGTTTAGAAAGAAAAATTATCTTAAATACATGTAGGTACTTAGGGGATAAATGCAAAAATGAATAGTTTTAGACTTAGTGATGTAGCTTAAAAAGTAATAAAGGGTGGCATACCTAGATAGTTTAGTCCTCTAAAATTCCTAATTTCAAGTTTTTAGAAAGAAAAATTATCTTAAATACATGTAGGTACTTTGGGGATAAATGCAAAAATGAATAGTTTTAGACTTAGTGATGTAGCTTAAAAAGTAATAAAGGGTGGCATACCTAGAAAGTTTAGTCCAAAAAGGTATCTATAATTTTTTTCTTTTTGAATATTAACTTAGCAATATTGAGGGAAAATAAAAAATCACCAAAAGTTTAAGTATTTCATGGGAGCTCATGCATTCACTATTTGCCAAGAGTGTTATGTACTCCATTCAAGCATATCATATATTGCAAGGCTATTTTTTCTTTTTCAAAAACATTTATGGGACTCTAAATTTTAGTTGCGTATAACTTAGATATCAACTACCCAACTCAAAATTTCTAAGTTTTTAAGAATTCTTTTATTTATTTTTTCAAAATGGTGTTTTTAAAGTGGATCTAAATTTATTTAGATCAAGAAAATATACTCCTAAGTAAGCTTTTTGCCTGAGGGAATCAGCTTCACAATGTCCTCATATAGGAGTGTCTAGGACTATATTGTGCAAGCTCCAGCCTTAATGTAATTTTTATATGTTTTAAAAAGGAACACCTTTTGCCATATCTTAAAAATCTATTTTTGAGATGACTTTTTTATTTAATTTTTAAGGACATGTAATCTCTAATATGGAGATCATGAATATGAAAAAATAAATAAATTTTATAAATTAAAAATAATAATTCTATTAAAAAAACATTTCGACCCTTTGTTTCAATTGTTTTTAGATGGACCACCTATTTGCATCCATCTTTAAGATGGATGCTTTATACTTTGGACCCTGTAGAAATGTGGTCCAGCCCGAACAATATTAGCTGGAAGCTTGTGGTCCGGCCCGAATAATATTAGCTGGAAGCTTCTTGTCTTTGCTGGAGATGGTTATTTTAACCGGATTATGATCTGATTTGTCTAATAAATTGACCTTGTTGACCCCAAAAGCTCATATGTGGTAGGAAATCGAGTGTATCTAGCCATAAATTGCTTTTATTTGCATCAAAGTTATTTTTTTTTTTTTGCTTAAATTTTTATATTTTGCCTCAAAAACAGATTACCAAATTGGAAATTAAAAAATTTGAAAATATACAATGGGGCCTCATTGTAATAGAACCGGCCAAAACCGAATATAACCAGCCCGAACCGGCCAGTTTGGTGATGAAAAAATAAAAAAACAGTGGATGCAGTTTTTGTCAATCTATGGGAGAAACCCTTAGTTCTATCAAAGAACTAGCAAGATCCGACTAGTTCCCAATATTGTAGATCTATTTATTTGTGAGAGTTATATTTTTTCTTTCGTTATATTAAATCAAAATGTCCAAAACTATTATACATTTCCTTTGAGTAAGAGATATCTATTTTATTACAATGCTTTGCATTTTAAATATCATTTTGATTATATAATGAATGCAATAAATATCAAACATTTCGACGTGAGACAAATTCTCAATTTCTATGTATTTTAATAAAATAATAAAAAATATAATACAATACTACTGATTTTATAAAAAAAGATATTTAAAATTGAGTATTGATACTATGAGACCATCCCACACTCATATGAGTGTGACCCAAATGATCACTATTAAATTTGACATAAATTTTTAAAAAAGTTATAAATAAACCCATTCACCAAAATCTCAAGCTCATCTGATAACTTTTCTAGAGATTTATGTTAAAATTTAATGATAATATTTTAGGGCCCTACTCTTATAGGTGTGTAAAGGTCTTGTATTATCAATACTCTTTTAAAAATTTCAATATATTTTTTTCAAAATTTAATGTCGCACCTTATTGATTCGGCAGATCCTCCAATCACGACCGTCGATCCACCTATCCAACCCAATTTTCACGATGTGCGATCTGGGTCACCGAACCGTTTTTTAAACCCTCGCTCCAAACTGTAAACCCTAGAAAGAGAGAAATCATTTTCAGTTATACAGGGACCTGTTTGCCGAACTCCATTTGTCTTCGCCAGTTCCCTCTCTCTGTCTCTCTCTCACTGAGTGAAAGAAACATGGCCCTCAAGAGAAAGCCTTCGTCTTCTTCCTCTGAAAGTTCTTCTTCCTCTTCGGAACAGGACGATAAATCGCAATATGAGCGTAAGCCCGCAGTCCGTCCCCCAGAATCCCCTACCTCTGAAAGCGAGGAATCTGAGGAAGGAGGAGAAGAAGAAACTGTCCGAAAATCGGACGAAGAAGGGGACGAAGATGATAATGAAGAAGAATCAGAATCCGAGGGTGAGAAGGTGAAGCCACCCACTAAAGGCAGGTCCTCCACCATCCGCTCCTCCATCAAAGACAAAGACAAAGGGAACCCTGATAACCCACCCACGTCTCACTCAGCCAAGCCTCTGAGCTCGAAGGCCATGGACACTCCGTTGCTCACTGATTCCCCTAAGTCCAGGCCCACCGAGCTGATGAACAGCCCGCCTCCTCCCTTGAAACGCTCTGAACCCGCGAAATCTAGACAGGATGAGAGCAAAGATCCCAAAAAACGGAAGCTCTCCGAGGTGAATGCTGAGGGAGGTGGGAAGCAGATTTTTCAGAGGATTTGGAAAGTTGGTGAGGAGATTGATCTTCTCAAAGGGTTCCTCGACTATTCGAAGAAGCACCCGAAAGGCCGTCAAGACCATGCCGCCATCTATGAGTTTGTTCAGAAGTGGCTCAACAGTGAGAGTAATAAATCTCAGTCTCAGGTTGTGGAGAAGCTCAGGAGGGTCAGGAAGAAGTTCAAGACCACTTTTGCAAGGGAGGAAGCAGGAAAAGAGGTTAATTTCAAGACCCCAGAGGAGCAGGACGCATACGAGCTCTCCAAGAAGATCTGGGGGGATGAAAATAGTAAAGAGGAAGCTGAATTTGAAGAGAATGACTCCCAAAAACCTAAACCCAGTCCTGTTTCAAATGCAAAGAGGAGACTCCTTTCTAAGGCAAAGGCGGTCAAGAAGGAGAATGTCCAGAACCATGTGGTGGGTGGTGAAGTACCCGAGCTGAAGGATCCAGGTTCGACATTGGTTAGTGAGTGGATTCAGAGTGGGCCGAGTCCCCATAACCCTGGGTTTGTGCCAGGGTTTGGTGGGCTAGGGTTTGTTGGGGGTGAGGGGCTTGCGAAGAGGGTATTGGGGTCGATGGAGAAATCAAAGGTGCAGATGTTGGAGGAGAAGTGGGGAAGGCAGCAGATGTTGGAGATGGATGTCTACTTGAAGAGAGTGGAACTGGTGCATGAGCAAACAAAGTTAATGGTGGAAACCCTCAAGTCGATGGATACATAGGTTTACTTATAGATGGAAAGGTTGGTTTATAGTTTTTATAATTAATTTGTGATTTGTTGTTGGACTTGCTTTCTTTCCTTATTTTTTCTTTTTGGTTTTATGATTTTGGTCAAACAGGGTTGGTTAATCCTTACATTTGGTTTATCTCCTTCCTCTTGTTGTCATTGTGTGTGGTGCTATGATATCTTTCTGTTATGCATGATTGAGGTTAGTTTATAATTTTTATAATGAATTTGTGATTTGTTGTTGGACTGGCTTTCTTCTGTTTTTTTCCTTATTCGTTTTATGATTTTGGTCAATCAGGGTTGGTTTATCCTTACATTTGGTTTATCTCCTTCCTCTTGTTGTCATCGTGTGTGGTGCTATGATATCTTTCTGTTATGCATGATTGATTTCTCCATTTTGATTGATGTTGATGTCCCCTATGTTTTACAATTTACAAGTTGTCTTGTTATAATTTAATCTTCTTACATCCTTCTGTACTCGTAGAATTTACAATTTACGAGAAGACCCCATTTTCCTTTTCTCCTATAATTCATTATCTGGTTTAAGTTTGTTAAACCGACTTCTTCTGCTTCCTTTTCTTCCCCAGATTTCTCCTTCTCGTGTTCTTACTTCCTTCTGTACTCTGAGCACCCAGTTTGTGGATGCCTCTTAACTATTTAAAATTTAATGTATTTTACTTATTATTTTATAAAGTCAACCCTTTCTCAAAAAAAAGAAAAGATCTTCTTATGTCTTTGGAGAAAAAAATGAATCAGTAGATCCAAATCAATTGGTGGTTGTCGTATGTTTGTATTTTCAGAGTAAATGTAATGAATTATGTTATGTATGTAAAGATGATTCGTGAAGTTATTGAGTGGATAATATTAAGGAGATGTCAGGTTACTCCTGTTGGTGGATGGGTGCGTTGAGTACGTGTCATTTCTACATACTTAACTATTAATACTTCATAGCTAAGTGGTTCAGCTCATAGCTAGCGGGAGCGGGAGCGTCGGAGCGATGTCTGCTCAAAGCTCTAGAGCTCGAGGAGCGAGTTCCGGTGAGGGTAAAAGTAGCAGATCGAGATCCCGTATGAACAAGGAGTGCAGTCCCAATACATCGGGATCGAGATCCCTATTTAACGGGAATGATTTCCATGTTAAATGGGATCGTGTTCCCATATTCATTAGGATCATGCTCCCATCGACAGCAGGATCGCGCCCCCATCTAAGAATGACCGTGTTCCTATTTGGAAAGGATCGATTTCCATTCAAGGAAGGATCGCGTTCTGTGCATGATTAGTCCACACTCCCATCGCAGAACTCCCTTTTTATAAAAATTTGGCTTAAAATATAATTATTTTATTTTAAAAATTAATTTCATTTAAGAAGTTTCTTTGAGGATGTTTCGGGAAAATAGGGATGGAGTTCCGGAAATGTAGGGATCGCGCTCCAAAAACTTTGGGAGCGAGGATCTAATTTATTCAAGAACGAGATCCTAAAATTTAAGGAACTCGTTCCGTGCAGTATCGGGAGCGAGCTTTGTTGTGAACGGGATCGAGAATCCTAAAAATAGGAGCAAGCTCCCAAAAAGTAGGGAACGAGTTCCGATCGAGATCTCGGCTACGGAGCGCCGGAGCTGGGTTCTGGAGCGGGAGCGTCACCCTAGTTGGGCGCTTCCAGTAACTATGGTTCAGCTTCCTTCTCGGTTCTGAGTTGAAGTATAGCATTGTAGTGGAGTAGCATTACACTACTCCATGAAGAAAGTAACTTGTTTTCTCAGGATTTCATTATGTGCACACAATTGAAGTCAGATTCTTTTTTTTTTTTCAAATAAATAGTGAAATTGGTATTCAAGATTTGGTTCTATTATTCATGTGATCAATTTGGATCTTACTATGGGGCTTTAAATACAAATTTGGTTAAGATGTAGTACTTTCTTTGCTTGTATTGCAACTTTCCAATTCAGCATCCAATCCGGTTCGAGAAAACAAATGGCACAATGAAGTGTAGTTATGATGTTCAATGTGGATCACATTTGTACCTGTTATTTACTGTTGAATACCAAGGATTTAGCTTCTCGGCCATAGTCATTTTATTTTAGTAATTCTAACAATAGACTGAGAAAGACGAATGTAATTTTTCTTGTTGTCAGCTCTAAAGATATTTTCTAGATCAGGACTGCTTGCTTCCATGATTTGTGATCTTGTAATTTGCTCATTACAACAACCTTCTTGAATATTGTTGGTTCGCTTTTTTGGAATACAATTTTGGTTAAGATGTATCACTTGCTTTGTTTGTATTGCAACTTTCCAATTCAGCATCCAATCTGGTTCGAGAAAACAACTGGCACAATGAAGTGTAGTTATGATGTTCAATGTGGATCACATTTCTACGTGTTATTTACTGTTGAGTACCAAGGATTTAGCTTCTCGGCCATAGTCATTTTATTTTAGTATTCTAACAGTAGACTGAGAAAGATGAATGTAATTTTTCTTGTTGTTAGCTCTAAAGATTTTCTAGATCAGGACTGCTTGCTTCCATGATTTGTGATCTTTTAATTTGCTCATGGCAACAACCTTCTTGAATATTGTTGGAATTTGGTTCGCTTTTTTGGTCCTTTAGTTGAGAAAAGTAATTATGCCGTCAGAGAAGGAAACTTATAATATGGCTAAATTAGCCAAAAGATAAAGTGAAAAACTTGTATACCTCCAAACACAGAATTCACAGCTCTATGGTTGTAATTCCATGTAGTAGGTTATTTTGTAGCTCATCTCACTGGATACCAGGCTTAGTGCTTTCTTTGAATAATACTTCTACATGTATTGATACAGCCCATTATCAAAATGAGCAGTATCGAAATGACTGAATATCCCCATGTTGGGTTTTTTTCGATGTAATCAATTTTATTGAAGCGAAGAGAACTGTAGTAGACCTCTAGGATACAATTTAAAAAGACAACAAGAGTCAAAGAGATTTCAAGGAAACACATAAAGGTCAAGAACGGCATTTTTTATTTAAATGGTAACTGTTTTTTTATTGCATATTAAGAACTGATCCACAAGTATAAGCAGTTCTTCTACAAAATTGAGTCTATGTATATCAGACTCTACTACTACAAAAATGAGGCTTTACACCTGGAGTTTACAAAAGTGAGATGAATGTTCTAAGGCCTTCTGGGTATATGTGCAAAAACCTGGTGCTCGTGAGATTTTGTTTTGCTACCCCCACCCCCTAGCGAGCTATCCACCTCGACATTTGACACTCTCCATGCATGTTGTAGGGTGTTTTAGGGTCACTTGCAAGTGCTGACTACAGGCCAAAGTTCATGAAATCTGACATCCCAACCTTTTATAAGCCTAAAAAACCCTAAAATTAATTTTATAAGCCTATGAAACCCTAAAATTAATTTTATAAGCCTATGATATCCTAAAATTAACTTGAAACCAATTATACATTTAAGGCTCTAAAATACCCCTAAATAATGTAAATTTTCAGAAATACCCATGTGAACAGTAATACATGAATAAATACACATGAGCAATAACATGAAAAGTACCTGTGAACAGTTACTATGAATTAACCAGTGAACAATACCTAAAAATATAAAAACACCCTAGAATCCTTAAAAAACTTAAAAATGTTAGAAATAAAGCCTAAAACTAAAATTAAAATATACATCCTTTGAAGTTACGAATATTAAAAGTAAGAATAATTCTGCCTTCTATCATTGATGTAGAGAACTTGAGAAATAATAAAATCAACAAGAAATCAGCAAGAAATTTCAGCCAAACGCATGCAATTTTGAGGAAGCCCTGAGGTTTTCTCCCCACCTAGTCTCAAGCCTTAGGTTTCTTTTCTCTCTTGTTCAGTAGAAGTTTGTTTTTATCTAAAAAAGGTGACGTGATTCCCCCTCGAGCCATCCACGTCCCACTTAAATAGTATCTATTTAATGTTTTGGACAATATTTGTCCATACAATGAAAATTGTGACTAAGAGGTCCTAACTTAAGTATAACTTGAAATTAGCAAACTTTAATTAAAAAGTCTATAACTAGTCCAACAATGAACTAAATGAAAACAAAATCTAAATTAGCCTAAAAAACTACTAAAAAAAACTATTCAAACAATTACTTGCTTTTTTTGTTCCTCATGGATCCTCCAAATATGAGCAAGAATTGGGAGGAATATTTATTAAAAAAAAAGAAACAATTAGGAGGAATCTGTCACTCCCAAAGAAGATACTTGTGCCTTCTTGGGCTACACTTTTCCAACTAAGATGAAGATTTCTTGGGCTGAACAGAAGCAACCATTCCTCAGGCGCACTTGGGCTGCATGCATGTAATGGGCTAGAGTAAACATTGCTGTTCACCCCTGGTAGTCCCTGAAGATGCCACTACTCCGTGCAGGCCCCAAGTTAGCTCGGGAGCAGCTGTCAAAATTTGACCTACTACCCCTCTTTAGCCTTGCTTGCTATGTTCTCCCCTTGATTTTCTAAACCCACCACCGAATAACCCCATAATCCTTTCCGCTTCTAGCCCAAGAAATTATGGTACCTCTCAGATTTTCTATCAGAGTTCTTACCTGGAGCTTGGTCTTTGAACCCCCTTTTATTTTCCTATATCGAACCGCACCTCTAACACCATCATTCCTCATAGGGTCAACGCTCTCTTTGGCAGGGCTGGAGGGTGGCTGAACCCATATAAGGCCAAACAAATTCAAAGGCCATATTGTGGCAGCATCATGGCAGTGTAAGAATAGGTAGCTAGCTGTTCTGCATTAGCCTTGCACATAATACAAATATTTGGGATAGACACCTTGCTCAATCAATTGTTCTACCATCAAAATCCTTTTGTGAAACTTTCAATCAGGTTAATATGCCTACAACTTGGGTGTCCTGGACATCCCATACCCTGCGTGTAACACCACGTGAGGATCCTATACATGGATTTAACTGTGAAGTCACACTTAAGAGTCAGGTTTCCAAATTAACTCTTCTGGTTTGTCTGGCCTGTAGAAGAAGCTTTGTATTTTCTCCCAAGGACAAGGCTGAGCGCAAAAGATATAGGAGCCAATTCGCACAAGGTGTGGATCGCTGATCTCCTATGAGAGTTTTGCCACATATCCTGAAGTAGGCAACTCACACACTACCCACCGAATAACATATAGCAAATTCCCTTCCCAAGTAAGATGGATGTTTTGGAGGAGTTGATTGGTCTGATATTAAAGTTGATGGTAAGTGCTCTAGCCTTCACTACATAGGAATTTAGA